GCGTCGTGGCTGATGTGGCGTTGTTGTACGCGAACTCGATCAGCGGCAGCTGCTGCTCCCAGGTCGTGGGGTCGTCGCACGTGGCACGAATCAACTGCTCCATCGTCTGATTCGTCCGCTCCGTTTGGCCGTCGGTCTCGGGGTGGTACGACGAACTGAACTGTAGCCTGGTCCCGAACTGCTCCCAGAGGTTCTTCCAGAATTTGCTGGTAAACTTCGTGTCCCTGTCGCTGATAATTGCTGCTGGTATCCCGTGCAGGCGAACAACGGCTGCGATGAACAGGCGAGCGGTCTCTTCGGCTGAGATCGACTTTTTGCACGCAGCGAAGTGTGCCATCTTCGTCAACCTATCCACGACGACCATCACCGCGTCGTTACCCCCAGGGTTCGAAGGTAACCCTGTGACGAAGTCCATGGTTACTTGCTGCCAAGCGCGTTCGGGCGGTGGGATCGGCTGCAATTGACCCGCCTTCCGCTTTCTTGAACTCTTCATCACCTGACACGTCGGGCACGAGCCCACGTGCTGCTGTACGTCGGTCAACAGCTCCGGCCAGTAATAATACCGCTGCAGTTGCTGTCGTGTTTTTTCTACCCCGAAATGTCCCGAGGTAATCCCGTCGTGTGCCTCCTGTAGTAGCAGCTCCCTCAGTAGTGAGTACGCGGGTACCCAAATGCGGTTGGTACCTGTTTTTACGTAATAGACTCCTTTTGCTTCTGCCAGTTGCTGTGAATTTCCGGTCGTGAAAAATGGGTCGGTGCGGTATCCGTGGGTGAATAGGCCAGTTAAAAGCGGGTTGGTCTGGGCGAGTAGGATGGCGTGGAGTTGGGCGGTGGGGCGGGTGAGAGCGTCGGCGATGTTGGATGCACCTTTTTTGTACGTAACGGTGTAGTGAAAATTGGACTCGAGATAGTCCAACCAGCGAATCTGTCGTGGGTTGAGATTCGGTTGGGCGCGAAGGTACTGTAGCGAGCGGTGGTCTGTCCGTACTGTCACGTCGGCGCCAGTCAGGTAACATCGCCAAACTTTGAACGCGTGCACGATCGCTAGCATCTCGCGGTCGTGTATCGGGTAGTTACGTTCGGGCGGGTGCAGTTTGCGGGACTCGTACGCGATTGGCTGGAGGCCGTTCCCGAAGTCCTGCAACAGTACTGCTCCCACAGCGATGTCACTTGCGTCGGTGACGAGCTCGAACGGACGGTGGGGATCTGCAATGCGAAGGACGGGCGGGGAGCACAAAATATTTTTGAGGGCCGAGAAGGCAGCTTGCTCTTTCTCCCCCCACGTGTACTCAACCCCCTTCCTCAGCAGGTCGGTCAACGGGGCAGTCAGCTTCGCCATGTCGGGGACGAACCGGCGCATGTAGTTGACGAACCCCAGGAAACTCTGCAACTCGGTCAAGTTGGTCGGCGCGTGCCAAGCCTGAATCGTCGCAATTTTCTTCGGGTCTATTTCCACTCCTGCAGCTGAAATAACATGTCCCAAAAACTCCAGGCGGTCCTGTAAAAACTCACACTTAGATGCTTTGGTCAGTAGGCGGTTCTCACTCAGGATTTTAAAAACTGCTTCGATGTCTTGTAAGTGCTGTGCTCTGTCAGGGCTGTAAATCAGTATGTCGTCCAGATAAACGATGACGCACTTATCTAAAAGCGGGCGGAATGCTTCGTTCATGGTCATTTGGAAAGTGGCGGGGGCGTTGGTCAGTCCGAATGGCATGACGGTGTATTCGAAGGATCCGTAGCGTGTTCAGAATGCGGTTTTAGGGCAGTCGGGTGGGTTGACGCGGATTTGGTGGTAGCCTCCTCGGAGGTCGATTTTCGAGAAAACCCGGGCTGTTCGCAGTTGGTCGATCAGTTCGTCGGCTCGTGGGATGGGGTAACGGGATTTGATGGTAACCCTGTTCAGTGCCCTGTAGTCGATACACATGCGAAACCCCCCGTCCTTTTTCGGTGTGAACAGTATGGGTGCGGCGAAGGGCGACGAACTAGGGCGAATGAATTCCTTTTCGAGCAGGTAATCGAGCTGCTTCCTCAGTTCGTCTAGTTCGGGTTGGGTCAGTCGGAACTGTCGCTGTACTGTTGGCTGTGCCCCCGGTTCCAGTTCTATCCTGTGGTCGTGCGGTCGCTGAGGTGGTAGTCCCGTCGGCAGGTCGTCTGGGAAAATGTCACTGTACTGTTTTAACAATGCCGCCAGGTCACTCGGTACGTCGGTCAGCAGTTTCTGTAAATCGCCCCCCTTGTCTGCTGCCTCGGCTTCCCGAATGTCAACCGCGTACACGTCGGCTCCGGCCGCAACAGCGCGTTTCATCGTGATCGCATTGACACGCACCGACGAAGACTCAGGCGAGCCCCAGCGAGGTAAGGCGATGCTGTTACCGTTTACTCGCACGGTGCAGTCACCCGTCGTCCAGTCAATTCGCGGATTGTGTCGTCGCAGCCAATCACGCCCGAGTAAAATGTCGGTTCCGTCGAGGGTCGTTGCGAGCATTTCCTGACTAAACGTGAAGGTACCCCCGCATCGAATCCGAACTCGGTCTACGCGTTCCCGTATTGCCAGCGGCGTGCCGTCTACCAGTCGTGCGTCGATCTCAGGTAAGCATCGGTCCAGTGGCAGTCGCAGTTTTCGTGCTGTAGCAGTGTTAATGAGGCTGTGGCTGGCTCCCCCGTCGACGAAGATTTTAACTAAGTCCGTCCCAATTTTCCCACTGAGCAATATAGGGCTATCTACCGTGGTACCCTCCTTATTCGGTCGGGTGTGGTCGATTGCGTGAACCGGCACAATCACTCGGTGAGGGTCGGTTGGGTCGGGCGAGCGGCGTGACCTGTCAGTAGAGGGCCCGTCTGCTACTGACTTCCAGCGTTTCCGTGCTGCTTGGTCTGTGTCTGCTGCTCAGCTTCCCCCTTTCCCTTAGCGTTTTCCGGGCATTCGCTCTTGCGATGTCCCGGCCGATTGCACGCAAAGCAGCGCCCTTTGAACGGTGCGGCAGCGGCATTTGCGGCGACGGCGCGTATCGTGGCGCTCTCGTTCGTCCCACGAGGCCGATGTCCCTAGGTGTTGTTTCCGTAGGACCCCGGTCTCGGTCGGCGAAAGAAGTCGAGCTTCTCCGCCATAGCGAGAATTTCCTGAAACTCAGTGACGCCGCGAAGCTGGATTTCCTGAGCGATGTCCTGCTTCAGGCCGCCGATGTAGCGGTCAATGCGTTCGCTCTCATGCATGTAGCCCACCTGCTCGCATAGCGCCAGGAATCCGCTCGTGTAATCCTGGACGGAACCGAGTTGGCGCCAAGTGCGGAGCTTCTGTCGCGCCGAGATCGAGGCCGCGATTGGCTCAAATCGAGCGCGCAGACCTGCGCACCACGCGTCCCACGTGCGATACTGGGGCACCTCCACGAAATACGACGGCGCCCAGGGTCCGGTTTGTCCTTCCCGTGTCGGTAGTGTCGCGTAGTCGGTCGGCTTCGTGACGATGACGCGCCACCAGTCCATGGCGGGTCCTCGCAGCAACGACACGGCGTATCGAATCTTCGCCGAGTCCTCCGAGACGTAGTTGGCGTCGAAGAAGACATTAATTGTGAATAACCACGCCTGAACGGTAGGACCACCCTGTTGACTCGGGTCAAAGCATGGCGGGCGCTGCGGCTTCAGTGGCATCGGTGACGGCAGTCCCGAATCGTGGGTTGGTGCCGAAATCGTGACGCGAGGCTGACTTGGGGCCGCAGGCGTCGCTCTGGGGTGTGTCGTGCCGTGGTCGTCGTCTCCGTCGGGGCGGACGACGCCATCACTAGCCGCGCTCGCGGGTTGCCCCACACTCCCGTGTTGTGATGTTGAGGGTGCGGGTTGAATCGGAGTGCCAGGTGCTTGAGATTGTGCTCTCATGAGGTCATTTTGCAGTGATGAGCGTTCTGCCGTCAATGCCGCGATTTCCTCGGAGCTTTCGTGCAGTTGTCGCAGCAGATCGTTCAAACGCTCCTGCGTGAGAGTGGTGACGTCGATATTCTCGGCCATGACGAAGGGCGTCGGCTCGTCTTAGTCTAGGCGCAGTCGTGGCTGCACGCGTTTACGAGAGAACGCGAGGACAGCGGCTCCTAGGGGCTAAGGTGCGTGAGTCCCTTCGAGTGAAAAATCAAAAGTTGATTTCCTGGTGTGCGGAGATGCGCGGTCCGAAAGAAAGGGGCTCTGATAACCAGGTGTTACGGGTGCAATGAATCGAGGTAGCGAGAATTGCACTAAGGTGTCAAACGAGTACAAAATGTGAGCGAAGGCATGAGCGAACATTTATACGCGAAACATGCAAAACGGTAACGCGGTGCGTGCGAGCTTGCTAGTGCTACGCTGGAGCGAGGCTCGGGCTAGTCCCGAAGCGTAGGCCGATACGGCCATGCCAGCAGTGCGAGGTTTGGCAAAACAGTGCGCGCGAAGTCGGCGAAGTTCCGTTAGCAGTAACGGGCGAACAATCGGTTGTTGCTGTACGCGATGTAGTCGGCTCCGTAAGGAATGCCGAGAAAATTCCTTACACCTAGCTAGTTTTCGCCCTATACTTGCTCGCTTTCTTCATTGTTTGGTCATTCTGTAATCACAGACTCTTTATAGAAGTCTTCCACACGCTCTGTTTGGTACAACTCATAACACACGGCATATGAAACATTCTTCAACAGATGACGTCCCACCCCCTAAGCACAGCGGCACATGGTAAAGGATTCAAAAGTTTCATCATAGAAAAAATTATTAAGAGATACGGTACTGAAGTAATAACATGCAGTACGACATTCTTGACAAGCATTTTAGTATTGGAAAAAGCTATGACGAGCTAACTATAACCAGGAAGCACTCTATGCCCCGTCTCCACGGTCTCTCTCTACTCCTCACCCCCGACCCCACAATCCCCTCACCCGTATCAAATAGCATTTTTACCTAACCCTCCACTCTGCTACCCCAGAATACCACAAAACCCATACCATCATTTTTTTCATCATCCAATAACCAGTCGCACGTGAAGTGCACTACTACCGTTGCGCTGACACCAACAAGTGATACGCGCCCTTCTTTGCGAGAAGCTCGTCATGGGTACCCTGCTCCACCACACGCCCCTTCTGCATCACAACAATGCAGTCTGCACTTCGCACGGTGGAGAGGCGGTGGGCAACGACAACGGTGGTGCGGCCGACCATGACGCGCTCCAAGGCCGCCTGCACCACCTTCTCGCTCTCTGCGTCCAAAGCTGACGTCGCCTCGTCCAGCAGCAGCACCCGCGGGTCCTTCAGGATCGCCCGCGCTATCGCCACCCGCTGCTTCTGCCCCCCGCTCAGCTGGGTGCCCCTCTCCCCTACCAGGGTATCATATGCCTCTGGGAGAGAGGAAATGAACGCATGCGCATTGGCAGACTTGGCAGCTTCAACAATCTCAGTCTCAGTCACCGCCTCTAGCTCCTCTTCCTCCTCCCTTCTATCCGCACCACTCCCCGCACTCTCCATACTCATCCTGAAATCACGGCTGCGCCTCGAATCCCGGGTCCCCTTAGTGTCACCAAGGCTCCAACAGCCCTTCTTACCAGCACCATCGGCATCAGCACCATCACCAGCAGCGGCCCCGCCGCTCGGAACATAGGTGGCAGCGCGCCCGTAGGCGATGTTGTCCCGGATGGAGATGTTGAAGAGCGCGGGCTCCTGGCTGACGAGCCCCATGTGTTGGCGCAGCCAGCGCAGGTTGAGTGCGGCGATGCTGCGGCCGTCCAGCAGCACGGCTCCGCTCTGCGGGTCGTAGAATCGCTCCACCAGCGCCACCACCGTCGACTTGCCGCTCCCACTCTCCCCCACCAGTGCCACCGTCTGCAGGGGAAGGTAGGGGAAGGATGGGCCAAAAGCAGGTTGACAAATGCAGCGGCCGACATGAGCGGAAAAGGTTGATGGGCATGTGAATATCGAAGCTGAGGAGATGAGGGAGTGGAGTTGGTGTTTCTTCTAAGCAGCTCGCGTGGCATGTGTGTACCCACCCGTGTGGTGTGAGTGCAGTGGTTTCACATTGCAAGTGTGAGATGTATGGTGCTTCAGAGTTACCACTGACCACCCACCCACCTTGCCAGCCGGAATCGTGAGTGTAAAGTCCTGCAGAACAGTGAGGTGTGGGCGGGACGGGTATGCAAACACCACTCCCTGAAACTGCACCTCGCCCCCCACGCCCTCCTCCGGGCGCTCCCCCTTCCCCTCGGGGTCGATGCGAGAGCGGCGGTCCAGCAGCTTGAAGATGGACTTCACTGCTGCCTGTGCCGTTGCCATGTCGGGCGCTAGACTGGCCGTCTGTGCCACTCCCATTGCTGTGAATACCACTGCGAAGAATGACTGGGGGAAAGGGGGAGAGGGGATTGGTGCAAGGGAGGGATGAGATGAACGGTGAAAACATTGAGCATTCGAATGCAGAGGAAGTCAATGGAGCAGACATCTGAGAAACCAGGGTACGAGCACCTGACGAGCACCTGACGAGCACCTGAGGAGTCACCTGAGTCACCTGAGGACTCACCTGAGAACCACCCTGGGACCCACCTGAAAGACGGACTGGAAGTCAGCCTGGCCGATCTTGACGAGCTGCCCCCCGCACCAGAAGGAGAAGCCGTAGACGGCAAACAGACAGAACTGCCCAAAGCCAAAGCCCGCCCCGCTGACCTGTGGTGGGGAGAGAGAGGGAGAGAGCGAGAGGTGAGTGGTGAGAGAGTGGGGAGTGAGTGGTTGTTGAAGGGAAAGGTAGAGTGTGATGGAGGAGTGTGAAGGCAGAGAGTAGGGGATAGATGGAGGAAGGACTTCAGACAAGGGTTTTAAAGAGAGAATCAACGGAGGGGTATGCAGCTGTACATTCAGAGGTAATCATTGGCAGCTGAGGTAATTATTTGAGACGTGTCAAAAGCAGAGACGACGGAACAGCACCATCACAAAGCCCTCCATGCTCACTCCTCCACTCCCTCTCCCCCCCCCTCTTCCCAACCCCCCTCTTTCCTCATCTTCCCAGTACCTGTGCCTTACGCAGCCCTGCCTTGACTGGGACGACAACACTGGCACGGTACAGAGCCATGACTCATCAGCTCTCACCCCCAACCATCCAACCCCCTTCCATCCAGCCTTTTTTCCCCTCCACCCACCTGTGCCTTGTGCAGGCCTGCCTTGACGGGCGCGACAACACTGGCATGGTACAGAGCCATGACTCGGCCCTCTGCTGCAAACGACGCCACTGTGCGCATGGCCCCCACTGCATCCGATGCTATGCGCGTCGCCGTCTCGTACGCTTGCTGCCAGGGGGACACAGGGAGGGTTGCCCGGAATGCGGGGGTGGGTGGGGGTTGAGAAGGTGTGCAGGCCTTGAGGTTTCGAGTGCCACTGTGCGCATGGCATGGCCCCCACTGCATCCGATGCTATGCGCGTCGCTGTCTCGTACGCTTGCTGCCAGGGGGACACAGAGAGGAGGGGGGGTGCCGTGGGAATGCGGGGGTGGGTGGGGGGTTGAGAAAGTTGAGCAGGCCTTGAGCTTTCGAGTGGGATTGTGCGCATGGCATGACATGACATGGCATGGCATGGCATGGCATGGCATGGCACCCACTCCACCGGATGCCCACAACCCACCTTGGCATCATCAGCAAAGCCCTGCAGGCTGCGCATCTGGAAGATGGATCCGGCAACATCCCCCCACGCACCCCCTTCTCTCTCTCCCCCTTCCCCCTTCCCCCTTCCCCCTTCCCCCTCCCTCTCCCTCTCCCACAACCCACCTTGGCATCATCAGCAAAGCCCTGCAGGCTGCGCATCTGGAAGATGGATCCGGCAGCGATGAGCGGCAGCTGGGCGAGCACGATGAAGGAGAGGATCCACGAGGACGAGAACGCCAGGATGAGCCCTGCCACAAGCGTTGCTGCGTTCTGCACGGCGAGAGAGAGACGGTCGCCCACTATGGAGTGCACATGGGTGGCGTCTGAGGAGAGACGTGAGCCGATGGCGCCACTGCGAGTGGACGGAGAGAAGAGAAAACGAGAGAAGGGATGCAAGCAGGGGTGCTTAGGACAGGTGCTCGCCCACTATGCAGTGCACGTGTGTTGTGTCAAAGGAGAGGCGCGAACAAAGATTTGCGGGCCTAGAAGGTTGGAAGTCAGGGCGGTTGTGATGCTCACCTGGAGTTTTCATCGCGGTCGAACCAGGCCATCTCCTGGCGCAGCACGGAATGGAAGCACATGCGGCGGATGCGCCAGATGAGGCGCTGCCCCGCCACGCTGAAGAGAAACGTCTGCAGGGTGCGGGAGACCCACGCCACCACGGCGAGAATGACAAACATGAGCGACCAGAAGTCCGCGTCGCTGCGCATCTTGGCCTTGTCTGGAAAAGCAGGGGGGAGGGGGCAAGGGCGTTTAAGGAAGGTAGGTAACGAGGGAATGAGTAGAAGCAAGTGGGGCAGTAAAGCGAGGAAACACACATGCATACAGCAGAAGCACACCTGGGTTGTAGAAGACGGTGATGATGCGGGAGAGGATGAGGGCGAAGAATGGCAGGATGACGCCCTGCACCGCTGCTGCCACCGTGCCTGACAGCGCATATGGCCACTCGGGCTTGTTCAGCATCGCCAGCCGCAGGAACGGAGACCGCTTCTTCCTCTTCTTGTCCTTCTTCTCCTTCTTCTTCTGCTTCTTCTTCTCCTTCTTCTCCGCTTTCTCCCTCTTGGCCTTCTCTCCTGCGCCTTCCTTCTCGCCCTGCTCTGGGTCTGTCCCTGTGCCGTCCCCCTTGCCAGCCTCCGCAGCCTCCTCCTCTCCCCCCTCTCCCTCTCCCTCTGTCTCCTCCTCCTCATCATCGTCATCATCATCCTCATCACCATCAGCACTGCTGCTGCTACTGGTCTCCTCCGAACTCCCTTCCTTCCCCGCCTTCCCCTCCTCCCCACCACTCACCCCCGCTCCCTTCCCCTCTCCCTCCACCTTCCCACCCTCCCCGTCACTGCCACCCTCCCCACCCCCCTCCCTCCCACTCCCAGCCATCTCCTGCAGCTTCACCAGCTGCAGATACGCACCACCTTCCTTCATCAGCTCCTCGTGCTTCCCCTCCTGCACCACCTTTCCTCGGCTCAGCACAGCGATCCGGTCCGCGCCGCGCACGGTGGAGAGGCGGTGGGCAACGACAACGGTGGTGCGGCCGACCATGACTCGCTCCAAGGCCGCCTGCACCACCTTCTCGCTCTCCGCGTCCAAAGCTGACGTCGCCTCGTCCAGCAGCAGCACCCGCGGGTCCTTCAGGATCGCCCGCGCTATCGCCACCCGCTGCTTCTGCCCGCCTGAGAGCTGCGTTCCACGCTCGCCCACGAGAGTGTTGTATCCCTGGGTTAGAGAGGCATGGGGGAAGGGGAAAGGGAAAGGGGAAGGGGAAGGGGAAGGGAGAAAAGAGGGATCCTTTGAAATCGCCCGGGCTATCGCCACCCGCTGCTTCTCTTCTGCCCCGCTACATCCTTTAGAAGAGCTGGGTGCCTCGCTCGCCCACTTTTGAGGCGCCTCAAAAGCTGCGTGCCTCGCTCGCTCGCCCACTAGAGTGTTGTAGCCCTGATGCGGGCAAACGTTTGCAAACGTTGGGAAAGGGAAGGAACCGGAAGAAATGAGGGAAGAATGAGAACGATGGGAATGAGGGAACAAAAAACAAGAGGGATTGGAAGGGAGAGAGAGTGGGTATGCTGGGAGGGGGGGGGTTGGGGGGGCCTGGGGAAGTGGAAGGGAAGAGGAGGTTTTTTGTGAGCATATGAGCAGGTCACCATACGGGAAACGAAGGAGCGGGAGGGGGAGAGGGTGGATTGTAAAAGCTGCAGCGAATGGGGCAAGCAGGGGAGAGACGTGGCACGAAACCAGGAACGAGAAGTGTTGAGACCTCAAGGGAGCAGAAACAAGGAAAGAGGAGGAGCGGAGACCAAACAATCATTAACCAGCATATGCATCAACTGCGTTTAATCAATCACTTACATCTGGCAGCGATTCGATGAACTCGTGAATGTTTGCCGCCCGCGCTGCCTCCTGCACCTCCTCATCACTCACCCCCTTCTCCTCTCTCTCTCCGCCACCCCCCCACGCCTCCCCGCCGCCCTTCCCATACGCGATGTTATCCCTTAGCGACACGTTGAAGAGCGCGGGCTCCTGGCTGACGAGGCCCATGTGTTGGCGCAGCCAGCGCAGGTTGAGTGCGGCGATGCTGCGGCCGTCCAGCAGCACGGCTCCGCCCTGCGGGTCGTAGAAGCGCTCCACCAGCGCCACCACCGTCGACTTGCCGCTGCCACTCTCCCCCACCAGCGCCACCGTCTCTCCTGCCCGGATCTTCAGAGAAAACCCGTTGAAAATGGTCACGTCGGGCCGGGACGGGTATGCGAAGACGATGTCTTGAAGCTCGAGTTCGCCTTTTACTTCAGAGTCCGGGGGGGTTTCGCCGGCAGGGTTGGAGCTGTCTATAGGGGGGATGCGCTGTATCACCTGGAAGATCTTGTATGCGGCTGCTCGGCCTGAGGCAAATGCGGCGAAGGAGGGGGAGGCCTGGCCGAGGGACCTGCGCGAGGGAGATATAGGGGAGAGAGAGCAGTGTCAACACAACGAGGCACGGCACGACAAGACACCACAACACACTAACACACCCCTTCTCGGCACTCACATGCCGCCAATGATAACTCCGAAGAGCACTGAGAAGACCTTGCAGCCCGTGCACCTGCTCTCTTTGAGACAACTCAAAAGCTACCCTGGAATGATACACACTCCCCTCCCTTGAGCACTCACATGCCGCCAATGATAACTCCGAAGAGCACTGAGAAGACCTTGCCGCCCGTGTAGCTGCTGTCGGCAATGAGCTTCGACCCGTACCACAGCGCCAGCGCGTACGAGCAGAACATGACAAAGATTGTCAGCCCGTAGCCGAACCCACTCGCCAGGCCCTGCTTCACACCCTCTTGGAAGGCAGCGTGCAGGTGGGCGGCGTACGCTTGGACTGACTTGCGCTCCGCTGTGAAGGCCGCCACCTGTGAGGAATGGAGCAGGTGGGCAGGCAGATGGACTGATTCGGCGCACAGAACGCCAACAGAATCAACAGCATTGCACAGTGGAACACTGGGGTTCCAGAGCGGTGCAGAACAGTGCAGTACGGTGCAGTGCAGAGAACGAGAGAGACAGGCACTCACGGTGCGGATGGCCCCAACACACTCCTCAACGATGGTGCCAGCAGCGGTGTATGCCTGCTGGCCCTTGCTCGTGGACTGCTGCACCACCACCGTGATCACCCCCCCCGCCACCGCCAGCAGCGGCAGCGTGGCCAGCATGACCAGAGCTAGCTGCCAGCCCGATATGAACGCCACCACGAATCCGCCCAGAAACTGCGCCAGGAACTGCATGCACGTGGCTACCTGGCGGGGAGGAGGGGAGGGGGAAGAGAATGAACAACGGGAGGAACAGGGGGGATTGGAGCGATGGGGGAGCCGGGAGAAAGTGGAGAGTGGTTGACTGGGCGAGATGGTGAAAAAGAAGAAAGAGGTGACCCGAGAAAAGCCGGCTCCAAAAGAAGAAAGGGAGGGGATAGCACGAACTCGATCGATAAAAGTACCTTGAAAAGCGCCCAACCAATTCGCCCCAATAGGACAATCAATGCAAACCTACTTTGCCTTGCCCCCATCCCCCACATCCCCTTCCTCCATCGTTCTCCCCTTTCCCGCACTTATCCGCGCAACTTCTCCCCCATGGCCTCCTGAACGAGAACAATTTCCCCCGACATGTGCCCCACGACCCCAAGCCAATGCATAGCAACCTTACCCCCATTCCCCACATCTCCTTCCCTCCCCCCTCTCTCCCCCCCCCTTTACCTTCTCCCCCATGGCCTCTTGCACGAGTACAATGTCTCCTGACATGTGCCCCACCACCTCCCCCGTGCTGAGGCTCGTGTCAAAGAATCCCACGTCCTGCCGCAGCACCGATTGCAGGTAGAGCGACCGCAGCCGCGCTGCCTGCCGCTCGCCCGCGCTCATCCAACATGCGGTCTCTGAGGGGGGGAGGAGGGGGGGAGGGGGAAGGGCGGAGGAGAAGTGGGTATAGGGAGGAGGGGAAGGGGAGGGAGGAGGGGAAGGGGAGGGAGGTGGGGAAGGGGAGGGAGGAGGGGAAGGGGAGGGAGGAGGGGAAGGGGATGGAGGAGGGGAAGAGCACGGGGTGGGAAGAGGAGGAAGAAGAGGTGCGGAGAAGAGAAACGAAGACGAAAGGGGTGTTCAAGAGGAGACGGACGGAACGAAGTGCCTGTATGTCTGTCTATCTATCCTGCCCCGCACCCCTCCACTCCCCTCCCCACACCCCACACTCCCGCACTCCCCACTCCCCCACTCCCCCACTCCCTCACACTCCCCCCACCACTCGCCCACACTTGTCCAATCTTCCCCATCCCCGCACTCGTGCATCGGAAACCTCTTCAGACTCGCACCACCCCCAGCATGCGCTCACGTATATACGCCGTGACGCCAGCCGCTATCGCCAGGAAGATGAAGTTCAGTGATGCCTGCGGACAAGGGAGGGGGGAAGGGGTGCAGGGAAGGGTGGGAGAACAGCAATTTTTCAGGCCCGCCTTAACATCAGTCGTTAAAAAAAAAAAAAAAAACAAAAACAAAAACGAAACTGATAGAAAAGAAGAAGAAGAAAAAAACAGAAGCGCACCTTTGCGACCTGGTCGAGCATGGCGTCCATGCTGGTGGTATTCGATCCAAACGCGTTCATCATGTCGCCGAACAGCAGCGCCATCATGGGCAGCGCGATGCCCTGGGCTATGGCGCCCACCGATCCCACCACCATCAGCGCCACGTCCCACTTGTCCGCGTATCGGAACAGCTGCCAGTACGGCACGCTCCCCGCCTCCTCCGCGCCCTCCTTCGGATCCCCCTTCTCCCCCTTCTCCTTCTCCGCCTTCTCCTTCTCCTCCGCCTTCTCCCCCGCTTTCTCCGTTTTCTCCGTCTCAGCCTCCTCCGCCGCCGTTGCCGCCGTCGCTTTCTCCCCGCTTTCCGCTCCCGTTGTTACCGCCACCAGGTTCGCCTCCTCGCCGTCGCCCTTCGCCGCCGGCCCTCCCTCCCCCTTCTCCTGCACTCCCTCTTTCAAGAGCGGAGAGCTTTCATCCGCCGCTGGCGCATCTCCTGCCGCATCATGCGCCGAATGTTCCGCCGGCGGGGGGGAAGGAGCAGGGACCGGCGGCGGCCCGCGCTCAGTGTCGGGATCCGCGCCCATGGAGAACTGCGGCGCCGCGCGGGGTCAGACGAGGGAGTGTGGGAACAAATAGGGAGGAACGGAAAGATGGAGCGGGAAGGAAGGGAAGGAGGGAGGGAGGGAGGCGGGGTGGGAGGGAGGGAGGAAAGGAGGAATGGCGGAAAGGGGGGAAAGTGAGCTGAACGAAGCATGACCGAAACTGCTAATGCGGTTCGACAGCCATGCCACACTAAATAGAATGACGTCATGGAATAGCTAAAAGTGAAATGCCTTTCGCACAAGCTGGAACACGACGACATTGAGGAAACGAAAACCGACGAGCTGCACGCGCAATGAAAGTAAACGAACGACATTACTAGCGTGAGTTTCGCTGCGCATAAAATACGGCGTACGGATTTGATTAGCTGGAATGCAGAGAACATTTCAAGCGTGGAGAACAGCGTTAACTCCATCATTACAACCCATGGTTAAACAGCAACTACATGGTATGCACAGGAGCACTCACCCAGAGCGAGGCCTTGGCCGAATGTACGAAGCAACGGAGAAGTGCAGCTAAGTGTACCAGTGCGCCGCGAGTTAACTTGGGCTTGTGAGTGTTTAACACGGAAATGCGTAAGAGACTCCGTAGTTGAAGCTTGAGACGAGCCGAACACAGTAGAGTTTCCTGTTGTATTGCTAGCGTTCTGATAATCTACGCTCGTTGAAATTGCATTTATTGAGTCTGTAGAAGTGTGTGCAATTGAGAACAAATGCTGTGGTGCCTCTCTTCAAATAGATCGAGCAAGACGAGGGAAAGAAGTTGTGGGTGCGCGCTAGAGCGAAGCTGGGCCAGCTTCGGGGTTTGGCTTGGAAGGGTCCCGAACCGGGAATTGCTATGGGCTGACCTGTTCCACGCCAAGCCACACTCTTGGAGTGTGCCAACATTTGAGAGTTTAGGGCGGGGTCACCGCGTTCGTTTTTCACAATTGTACAGTTTATCTGTCGTGGTGCAAACGGATTCCAGTCGGTTCACAGCGTTTTGTGCGAGTTACCCGTTTTAAACCGTGACAAAACTAGAATAACCTCTCAGAATGAACTGTCATGAAATGTAAATGAACGCACTTGACCCGCCCTTAGGTACTCGAAGGAGGACCTGTTTAACAGCTTTGAATCAACAAAATATTGAATAGAACGACAAAATTGAAACGGGGACACACAATTCGTGAGCGCGGTGCCACAACAGAAAGTGACAATACGGTTCATTACCTCGTCGTAACTTCACGATACGGTAAGGCTTCCCGATGTTCTGGAACCCCGTCTCATTATGGAAAACATAGCGGGTTCAAATGAAAAAACCCAAAACCCGACACGTTTCGTGTGTAGCAAGTCAAGGAAGTAGAAACATTCGCGATCCGGCACAAAGCAATGAACAAAGCCGCTCACCCGAACCTACCACCGCCATTTTGGCACGCGCGAACAATGTCAGAGCACAGTAATTCTAGTGCCAATGAATTTGCCAAACCAGGCACGTACGGCGCTAACGAGCTGACGTGCCAAAGCCAGCTCACCATGAGGGCGACAGCGCTTTGGAAATATCGCGCCTCCATACCAGAAACACAGGTTCAGCTCTCGTGAAAGGAGCCACAAAGTGCCTAATTTCGTGACCACCGCACCACTACTCGAGGCCCGTACTTGGCCTTGTCAACAGGTCTGGAAAACGGTTTGTTTCACAGGGCGCTTGCTGTCGGGCTTCTGGGCCTAAAAAGAAACTCCGTGGAAACGGCGACATCGTCAGCACAAATAAGGGCGGGGTGCGTCATGCTGTATTGGCAGGGTCGCTTCTGACCGGGTTGCAGCAACAGCGACCCTTTGGAATCGCCCTACTGGGGTGGGGACCGGGTCCTTTGATGCATGGAAGTGCGTCTTGCCAGCCGTAGGGTTTAGGTTTTTTTTCAAGTTTTTAAGTTTTATTGATGGTCGTAACCAATACATTTGATACAAGCAGCAGCAATGATAACATATCAAGGTCGTAAAAACAACCTGCACTGTATCGTGCTAGCTGCCCAGCGGGACTCCCGCTGGCACCAGGGACCACCTGATGGCCGGTAACAGGGCTAGATGAGGATGCTGCGTTCAGGGGGGGCGGAAGGGGTCGTTCAGGAGCCAGGTCCGTTGTAGTGCTGGGTGTAGTGAAGGGTACTCAGAAGAGTCAAAGCACAGAAGGCGGAGAGACTGGGCGTAGCGAACCCTGGATGCCGTTGCCCTTTGGAATTTGATCGAACGCTTTTTCCGCTGCCAGAAGTAAAGCTTGCAAGCGGAAAGGAAAGCTCCTAAGACACGGTGCAGGATGGAGATGGCTGAGGAAGACTCGCGCTGATGTACAGTTGCACAGCGCTCATCCCAGAGGGTCTTGGCAGCAGCGCCCACCAACAAGCACCAAGGTGCAATCTGTCCAGCAGGGTGGGAGAGAGGGAAGAACACAAGCGGAGCCGGGACAGCCACTCCCAGGTGCGAACGTGCCACCCGACAGAGAGCCGCTGAGACTGTCGCCACTGGGCCACACTCATTGAAGACGTGTAGGAGGGTCTCAAGGGGTCTTGGTGGACAGCGTCGACAGCTGCCACCATCTTCCATGAAACGGAAACGGGCACCTGTGGGAAGGGCACGCGCAAAAAGGCGGAGGAGGAGGTCGCGGGATCGACTGGGCTGCTCGCGGAGGAAGGGGTGTGTGAGCGAGGGCAGTGCAGGGACAGGGAGCTGTAACGCAGTCGACCAGGCTTCCTGTAGGGAGAGCGGCTGAGGGCGGTAGAACTGTTTGCGAAGGACTGCTAAGGATGGTGGTCCTGGGCGGAGCAGGTCTATGCGATCGGCTAACCCAGCACCGGAGCAAAAGGGTCCATGGATCCATCTGTCACGGACGAGGATGGTGAGAAGGGCACGTTCGGGGACGACGCAGCAGCTGACGGCCTCCCTACCTACACGTCTACAGCTGATGTCGTACCTATCTGCTACCACCAGACCGCCTGGGAGTGTAACGCGAACCTGCAGTAGTTGAGGAGGAGAGAGGGGAGGAGGGGAGACAGGGACAGTCCAATCTCCTGCAGACAAGGATCCCAGAGGGCGTTGAAAAGGGAGGAGGACCTCCCACCAGTCCAGAGGAACCGCTTCGGTAATGGCAGTGAGGATACGTCTGCTGCAGGGGAAACGGGCAGTAGGGCAGTGTTGAAAATTTCAACTCTGGAGAGGCGACGAAGACCAGACTCTGTGGGGGTGAGGAGATGTCCGAGGCGGAGTTGGAGGGTGAGGAGAGGCAGTTCTTCTTTGAGACCACCAAAGGGTTGCCCATCCGGCTTAAGGAGAAAACGATTAAAGGGGAGGGGTTCTGCCAGTAAGACCCAAGGCACCAAGCGTGGGGGGTGTATGAGCGGGGACATGGCCAGGAAGGACTCAAGTTCAGCCCTGGCACGAGGGGGGGTGGAGACAGGGAGACTTCTCAAGATGAGGGGATGGAGAAGGAGGCAATGGAGTCCGAAAGGCAGGGTGGAGCAGCTCCGCGCAATGTCCTCAAACGGGGTGGGCCGGAAGCGGCGGCAGGCTCGCTGGACGTTGAGGACAGATACGTACTGCGAGGGTTCAAGTCCGCCAATCCCACCGTGTTGTTTTTTATTATAGAGGATGCGTTTGGTGAGAAGCCGGGAGACGAGGCCTGTGGAGTGATGCTTGCTGGCGGAGAGGAAATTTCCAACGAGCATGTCCAGCTGTTTAAGCAAGCGAGGGGGAGGAGGCTGAAAGCGGCCGCCGAAGGTAATCAGGGGGATGACCCTCTCAGTGACAAGGGCAGCGCGACACGAAGCAGTGAGGTGAAGTTTAGAGAGAAATGCGATGGTGGATGAGGCTTTGGCGAGAATCTGTTCCCACGTCCTGACTCCGGGTTGGGAATGCTGAACAAACACACCCAGAATACGTTCAGCGTCTTCAGGTTGGCGCACCGGAATGGGGCCTGCGTGCGTAATCTGCTGATGCGGGATATTGAAGGGGAGGATGGAGCACTTATTCCAGTTAGGCTGTTCCCTGGAGACCAGGGCAAAGGAGTCCAAAAGCTGGGAGGCAGTGTGAAGTTCGGAGTCTGAGTTGAGGAAAATTGAAATGTCATCGGCATAGCATGCTGCCAGACGCCGTTGGTGGGTGGAGAAGGCGAAACCCGGGAGGGCAGAGGTCAGATGGCGGTGAAGGACCTCGATGACACAGATGAACAAGAGTGGGGCTAGGGGGCAGCCTTGACGGACGCCAGAGCGGACCGGGAAGTCGGGTCCTGGATGATTATTGACCAATACCCGGGTGGAGGTGTCAGTGTGGAGGAGGCGTACCCAAGTGATGAAGTCGGAAGGCAGGCCTAGATAGGACAAACACTGGTACATGAACTCGCGATCTACCAGGTCGTAGGCTTTGCGGATGTCTACTGTGAGTACGAGGAGGGGTACGGAGCGGGCAACTGCCCATTCCATTAAATCGAGAGTGTCATTAATTGTATCGCCAATGCTACGACCGCGCACAAAGGCTGTCTGGGCGGGGTGGATGATGTGGCGCAGAACAGGTTGAAGACGGTTGGCGAGGCAGATGGCGAGGGTTTTGTAGTCAGCATTCATGAGCGTAATAGGGCGAAGATCCTCGACCATTGAGGAAGACTGTCGTTTGGGGATGAGGACAGTGCGGCCGCCTCTCATAGAGGGGGGCAACGACTGGGAGCGCCAGATTGACGCGAAGAGTTGATGGAAGACCGGACCGAGGAGAGCACGGTAAGTGCGGAAGAAATCTCCGGGCAGGCCATCGCTGCCGGGCATCTTGCCAGGGGCGAGAGAGGCCATTGCACGATCAATTTCGGCAAGCGAGAAGGGCGCCATTAAGGGAAGCAGCAAAGCTGACGGTGGGGACGAGGGGGGGAGGTGACGCCAGAAATCCGACGGACGAGCGGGTTGGGGAGGGGCACCGTAAAGGCTGGAGAAGAAGGAGGTGCAATGGGCGTTGATTTCGCTGAGGTTGGAGGTGAGGCGGCCAGAGGGGAGTGTGATCGCGGAGACTTGCGAGGCCTTGATATGGGAATTGAGACTACTGAGGAGAGACGGGACACCCATCTCACGGGCCCCCTCCACTTTGAGCTTGGCTTTGAAGGCGATATCAGCGGCACAAGAGGACAGATACTGTTCCAGCTGTCTGGAAGACTGCTGTAGACGGTGCTGTATAAGAGGGTTATGGGGAAAGCGCAGGAGGGAGAGTTGGCACGTAGCGACGACCGACTGGAGGTGCGTCATTGTCTTGCGGACACGGGTGCGTTCTTCCGAGGAGAATGACCGAAGGCAGGCACAAAGGCGGGCTTTCCAACTGTCCCACCCAAGAGGGGACAACGGCTGAGGGAGGGAGTCTACAGCTTTCTGGACAAGGATTTGAACGCAGTGTTTGCGAAGGAGAGAGTGCGGAAACCTCCAGGGTCTAGGGGCTGTATTGGGGTCGTCAACAAGGATGGTGCAAACAGGGTGTTGGAAATGGTTGGAGAGTTGGGGGGAGATGGCGACCAGGTCAGCCGACTGGAGCTGGGAGAGCCAGCCATGTGAGACACAAATTCTGTCCAGGCGAGAGGCCGGGCAGGACGCCAAACCAGCGCGGGCATGCGAAACAAAAGAGAAAGAGGGGAGAGAGGGATGGTGGGTTCTGAAGGAGTCAACGAGACCGTGTGCGTTGAGGAGGGTGTTAAGGATGCTGGCTTCGCTTAGCTCATGCTGCAGGAGGGGACGGTTACGATCGAGATGGTCGGTAACAGCGTTGAAATCGCCTGCCAAGATGATCCCGTCACAGTTGGTGCAGGCGGTCAGGGCGGGGTGCAGAGTGTCGTTCCACCAGCGTCTACGGTCAGACGCATGGGTGGAGGGGTATATTGCGACCAAGCCCAGGTGCAGCTGGAGGAAGCTGAGATGAAGTCGCAGGAGGCGATTGTCCGAGGAGGGTGCTCGCTCAGTGATGGTGATGCGCTTGTTAAACACTAGGACGATGATACCGCCCGGTCGTACTCTCCCAGCGACTACAGAGGGCGGAGAATGTGCGTACGCTCGTGGCTTAAATTTAAACAAGAGCTCGCGGAAAGTGGTCGTGACACGGGTGTCGATGAGGATGAGGATGTCAGGCGGGTGAACTAGCCATGCGCGAAACAAGTCCATTTTCGCAGTAGTGCTAAGACCATTGATGTTAATGCTTGTAATGCGTAGGGGGATTTTCATGGAGGAAATGCAAACGCCCTGATATGCCGTAGCATACCCATCCACAGGGCATAAACTAATATATGAAACTGTGGTACATCCCCAACCAAGAATATGTTACAACTGAAATCCGATTGTATTATGTACTGATACAACCATACAGAGGAGAGTCTACAGAAGACACACAAGGTATGTCTGCGAACAAAGAGGCAACTACTCCTCAGAGGCCATGGCCTGAGATGCCAGGAAGGCGGCGACAGTAGGGTGCTGCACCAGTCGCGCTGCTTTCTGGTTCCCTTGGGCGAGGCGGGGAACCACCACGCCCTCCGGGCTGTTGAGCTTGGAGACGTGCTCCGCCGAGCGGAGATGGTCCAGGGCGCTATCCAACGCTGGGCCACAGACGAAGTCGTAGAGGGAGCAGGTCCAGGGCTCCACGGCGTACTCCATGCCGATGAGCAGGAGTCCAGGATCCGCACGGACGGCCATGATTGCCGGCGTCTGACCAAGGTTCTGACCTGAGGTAGGGGGCAGAGTGAAAAGGCAAGCAGAGGAAGGGGGCCAGAAGAACAGGGAGGAAGGGGGAAGTAGACCGGGGCCCAGCGCCCAGGGTAGACGGCCATCCAGCCAAGCAGAGCCGGAAGGTGCATAAAGGGGGGGAGGGGACAAAGAGCAGACAAGGCAATAGAGGGGCGAGCACAAGACCAGAGGCGTAACATTCGGAGGCAGAAAAGCGGAAATGGAAGAAGAGGGGCACAACATAAGGAGAAAAACACCGGGGCGAGAGAGGCGGTACCATTGTGCTGTTGAAGCTGCAGGACCGTCAGCTGGGACGGGTTGGGAGCTTTGCCAGCACGATACACCGCGAAGACTTCGTGATCAATGGTGCGATGGTTGCTGGCGCAGATGGCGCAGGTATGGCACGACAGGTGCACATACATGGGGTCGCCCAGGAGAGGGTTAGGGGGAAGAAGGACAGGAGGGAGGAAAGCGAAGTCCGGATCTCCAGTGACCGGCGTGACGATTCCGGCGAACTGAGGCAAATCGAAACCCGTAAACGGGTTCTTGACACGATGAAAATGCTCCAGCGTGGCCAGCCACTTGTGCCCGCCGGACCTGCCAGAAAGAAGCTTATCACGCACACGGGCGATGTCACAGTTATCCGGGAGGTTACGAACCAGGATCGTCGTCGCACCCTGTGCTTTCGCAGAGGCGAAGCCAGGAGACGTCTCGTGAAAAACACGAAGCTCAACATGCTGCCCATCAGCGAGGCGAACACGCATGGGAAAAGAGTCACGGAAGACACGAGCATCGGCGGCGGTCGGCCAGGCGTAGAGCTGCCGCCCGTAGGAGGCGCGAGGCAAATTAAGCAGATCGCCAGCCGAGGTCTCGTAGAGGGGAATCACGCCACCGGGGAATTGCTCGTCACGGAATTTCGCCATGATCGCCAGATGAATCGCAGACCGAAGTTTTTCCGCAGCGAACTTCTCTTCCATCAGGATGGTGACGGTGAGCGCCGGATCCCTGGTGACAGTCTCAAGGACAGCGTCGGTATAGCGGCGCAGAAGGGCGTTTCGTGCATGAGGGGCCGCAGCACGGGTAACAGGAGCAGGGACAGGAGCGGAGGTGACAGGGGCAGATGTCGGAGGGGGGGGAGGGAACGGCGCGTCTGCCGAAGACTCGGTTTCCTGCTGGGCGCCAGTCGCACCCAACACAGGAGACGACACCGCCGCACGTACACCGCCAGTCGCACGAGGGGGCAGAGGGGTTCGTGGCGGAAGAGAGGCAACAGGACGCGGCGGCGGGACCACAGGCTCAGCTTGCATCGGATCCGCCATCACTGCACCAGGGGCGGGAGAGGAGGCACGCTTGGGAGGGTGGGAGAAAATAGAGGAAGAGTCGTCGTCACGAGGGCGTTTGGACTGAAGTTCTTCGCTTACTGCAAAGAAATCTTCTAGCGCATGATCAGAGACGTCAAGGTCAACATCGAGCATCATCTGGGAGTCCATCGTGCAGGGACACACCAAAGGAGCGAGAACGGGAGAAAGAGGCAAACACGACGAAAGCCAAAACAGAGGAAGAGGGGGGGGAAGCAGAACAGGGCGAGGCGAACGAGGCGCGATCGACTCGATCAACTGGAACGGGCTTGAGGGCCCGTCCAGAGAGGCGCGGCGTAAGCGCTTGAGGGCGCAAACGCCGGCATGGCATCCAACCGAGGGAGGGCGTGAGGGCCCAGCTCGGTCCACAGAACAGAGCACCAGAAGTCGAGGGAGACACGTCGTGAGAGGGAGGGAGCCGGTGCACCACAAAGTGGCAGGAAAGGCAGAGCAAGAAAGGAGCTCATGCACAGCTTCGAGAGGGACCGTCAGGGACCACACCGGGCCCTGGAGCAGGAGGAGGTGGCTGACGGCGACAGCACCACCAGATGCATGAACGCCAAGGAGCCAGTGGTGCAGAGGGCACTGATTGCGACGAGTGCGCTGAGTCAGCCCAATTGCCAACGGTGCAAAGGACGGGTCCGATTTGTGGCAGAGGCCAGCAGAGGTCCCAAGCGTGGAGATGCATGGGGCAGGAAACGGGGCAGCGCAACAGCAACACAAACCTGCACACCAACCAAAGAAAACGAGGAACACGAAAGTGAGCAACCAGCTTACCTCATGACGGGAAAAAACGGCGAAAATTTTCCTGGAGGCGGAGGCTTCCAGAAGATATGAAGTCGTGTCAGCGGAGGCGGCGGTTGGATGTTCCAAGCATCCCCGTCCAACAGGACGGTGGTCGGGCAGCATGGAACTATCAGGAGGAGAGTTGTGTCGCAGCAACAGCCGCTGAGGCGAACGGAGGGGGCATGAACTGTAACGGGATGCAACGACGCGTACGTCAGTTTGGACAACAGACGGCCGTAGGGTTTAGGACGTGTTGCGAAGGGGTTGGATTGCCTCGATCCAGCCCAATCTACCTCAAATTTCCAAGTCCAAGAGGCCAACCTAAGCCCACCCAATCGGTTTGGATTTCCCCAATTTAACCCGATCGTTTGGGTCGACCAGGACGACCCGACCCAACCCAATCGGGTCGGGTTGATCTAGCAAAATTTATAATCTCGCATAAAGCTCGTTTTGAATTCGCCTACAACTTGCAATCAAGCGAGAACGTTTGTTTGAGTATCATAAGCCACTGTGAGTTGATAACAATCGTCACAACTCGCCCAGCCCGAAGGGGGAGGGGGGGAGGGGGTTTCTTTCTTGAAAATAGATAAAGTGGAGGTCGAAAATGAAGCGGTTCATGCCGTCGTCCGACGAGGCCCCTTCCACCGCCATCTTCAGCGTCCCTTATGGCCCATGCTTGGCGATGAACCGGTAAAGACGCTCGTTGGGACCGCCGCAGAAGTCGTTGCCACAGTCGATCTACCTGCTCTCCAGGAGAGAGGTTGTGCGAAGGATCTGAGTATGCATGAGGGGGTATTCCAGCTGCCACACACAAAACACAGCGGTTGTTAACACCAGTCATTAAACACGAGCAAATTTGTACAATGTTTTAGCCGTCACATACATCCCGATGCTGGAAGGCCTTAGAAAGGACGTTCAGCAGCTCGAGCACGTCTGCGATAAATCTCAGGAGAAACTGGAAGCAATACGATATTACAAGCTCGTACATTGTCTAGTCCTTCCACTCGGACAACATCACGACGATGTCGGGCAGGACTTCGACGAATCGCAAAATCGCATCTCCCCTTGACAGCCACCGGACCTCGTGTATGCCTTGCACCTCGAGGTTCGTGGCTGTGAAAACCTCCTGCAACTCCATGAATCGTTGATGCCAAGGCCCCGACTGACCCAGGTATTCTGCGACTGTACGGATGACGTCGTCGACCATGTTAAAAGTCGGGATCTCCTCTGCTGCAGCTTTCGCAGCCAAAGCTTCTCTGCACTCAAGACAAGACAAGCAAGGTTAGTAAACATAGACATTAAGCACCACTCGCAAAATAAACTTGCAAATTACAACAGCATAGAACACATACCGATGTGCGATGCAGTGGAACGAGACGAGGTTGGGGATGAGCATACAGATTCGTGCCACCACTCCACTATGGGCCCCACCATGTCCATTGCTTCGTCAGTGCTCATGCCCAAGATACGGCGGAGGTCCACGCCGATTGCCCTGAGGTGGGAGAGCAACAAGCTAGAAAGGGAGGCAGCGTCAGCCTTCTCAACAGTGAGCAAAGCGACAAACACAGTGACGACAACACCGTCGCGCATGAAGGTGGCAAACACAATCATGTGTTTGCCGCGTCGCCGATCGGTGCTTTCGTCCAGCATGATCCCAATGAAGGGACTCGTTAGAAGATGCTCAAGCTGCGTTGTTTGAAGCCACGTCGCGATTGCTTGAGCGAGTTCTCCAAAGCCGTATCTGCAATTCAATAAACACAAAGTGGTTAGTGACTTACTAAAAGCGAATAATACGACAATGATAGGAAATATGTAATAACGGGACAAACTTAGGTATTGTGGTAAGTGCCGTACCCATGCTCGGGAAACCCGGGTACCTTCTTCTGCGCGAGGTACCACACAAGCCGGATCCACGAGTCCATGGGCTCGTTGCACTTGCTCATGAAGTACAGCGAGTCCGCGAGTGCCGAAACATGCACCATCTCCTTATCGTGAGCCTTGGGGTGTAGATCGATGCGTCTCCGTCCCTCCACTCTCTGCAACAGGTCGTCCTGCCTCTGCAGTGCTAACCAGTGTTTAGTGGTCCTTCATGCTTCTTGAAGGCCTGCGTCAGCACGTCGGTAGCGCCTTCTCCACGACGTCCACATTTGCCGGCCAATCCAGCGAATTGTAATGGGAGATCTGAACACCACGTCGACTTGTAACGGCCGTGAGCTTCTTCGTATTTCAAGTCGACTTTTCCAGGAACGGGTTTGGAGCTGTCCTGCATGGGAGATTGCTCCGCTGCTGGAGCATCAACACTCGAACCAGGTGGTGAGTTGCCCATGCAATGGTGGCCTGCCGTAAAGGCAACTTTGGTAGTGGCGTAAGACGGGATGGAGTTTCAACGGACGCCTCGTGGGCCACCGTCTGAGGCGTAGCTGTCACAGGTTTAGTGGCGGCATCGGGCAGAGAATCAAGGTGCGTGGAATCTGGAGTGTGACTTGAGTTGGGTAGCGATGGTGGCGCTGGCGGTGCACGGGGCTTCTCAAAGGAAGAAAAAAGAAAGTCCATGCCCGTCGCTGAGTCGCCTAGAGGGCGACGATCTACATCATCGACGTCGTCAGGTACATCGGCAGCAGCGTCTGTGGCAGCCATTGAGTCCGCTGTGCCGAGCAGTAGTTTGCTAGACCTGAAGAGAAGCTGCCTGAAAGCAGGGTTCAAAAGTAGTTTCAGGGGATGGCAAAGAACTGAAGCGAGAGGCAGGCGATAAAGGGCCTGGCGGGAACGATCACACTGGGGTAGTGTGGAGGAGGGCCACATATTAGGACCTCTCAACTCAAACCCTCAATGGTCCCTGCATGCACGTCACCTGGTCGTGTATGCAGGGCAAGTGGGGTGGGCTGGATGATTCTGGTGTCGTGCGCAGCGCATCGCGCTGCGAGCTATGCGTTGGCAAGGAATCTTGGCTCCCGCACAGCCCCGATTGGTTGGAAATGACGCTGATTACAACTTTGCTGTACCAACGCGACAGAGCGGTGCCCCGCCCGGAAAATTCAGTTTACCGCCCGTGATTGACGGTGTTATACATACACATCGCTTGGCTGGACAGAAGCCCCGTAATACCGGATTCAGAGTTCACCCATGATACAAGGCTGAGGCCTAGCCTACACTCATACTTTTAGGCTGAAAAAACAGCTATAGCTTAAAAATAAACTATGAAAAATCAGCCAACATACCAGAAAAAAACTTCCACTTCAGCCTAGTGTTTCCAAAAAAGTCTGATCTAATGCTGAATCAGCGTAAGAAGTATGATATCTAGGGCCCTGGCGGCACGGATGCAGCCAGAAGAGCACACACAACACATGTGGTGATGGTAATGGCAAGATGAGAGTATATATTACAATCAACAGCAGACTTAGCCATGGCGGTAGTTTGCAGCGTAATTGAATGATGACACTTGACAAGGTGAACGCAAAATCACAAAAGGTATTACAACAAGCAAACACCGTTGTTTATATAAGATTGCAAATGTGTCAAGTTTAGGAGTAGAAGTTTAGAATGAAGAAAGGAGGAGGTTCACTAGCAAGCAGTTGGATACATATAGCAAACCCTAACAGGGTTGTACTCGCTATAGAGCACCCCATTACAGGCTAGTTAATAACATTCTGACACACCCCCATAGCCAAAGTGGGGTGTAATCAGCAGAGCAAGCAAAGCAGAACAAGCTCAGGGTGGATCACAATGTCACCACTCATTCTGAGCACAAGTACAAGAAGCAACAGCTCAAAGTTCACAAATGTAAGCAAAGCTAGAGGCTATCGCAGAGGGCAAGTGAGGAGGAGGAGGCGAGATTGTAAGAGGAGAGGAGATAGGAGGCGACGACTGAAGCTGCAGACACACGGGCAACAGGAGTCACACTGGCACAGCGGCTACCGGAACAGCACTCCGGACTACTGGAGTAACTGGCTCCGACTGGGCTACCGGAGCAGCGCCCCGGACTACTGGTGCTGCTGACGACACGATGGCAGCCTCCACTTAACCTACCCAAACAGTCCCACCCCCCTTGACACACACCCCCTGCTTCACCCCTAGCTCCACTCCCCCTTCACCCCCCTTAGTACCACTTCGACGGCTCCAACAGATCCACCCCCCTCAGCGGCAGCTGCAGCACTGGGAGACGGAGGAGGAGGAGGAGCAGGGAACGGCACACAGAAGCTGCACCCCCATACCCCCCACCCCAAACCCTAATGCAGGAGAACGGGCGGCAGCAGGGGTGGGGCGCCGTCAGAAGCACGGGGGACGAGGAAACAGGGCGCCCACTGGCCTGGCGTAGCCCGTACGAACCGCGCGCG